AAAAGTGATGAGTTGTCACAATCATAGTTGTTAATATTCGTCAGTGCACAATAGGAGTTGAATAAGTGTACTAGAGTTCCTTTATAAGATGAATAATTTAATTAGTAAGTTGTGCATCATGAGAGTTATTAAGACGACAGTTGCAACGAAGAAAACTTTCTTTCCGGCGAAGTCAGCATCAATTAGGCTGTACATTCGTGTATTTATATCAAATGGATGGGAAAGTTCCAGAATAATTCCCGGTCAACGGTCGAATTAATAAAATTACAATTAGGAATTAGAATGCCATAATAAACAGGGGGCGAGACGGATAAAACTCCAACAAAGTAGCATCATAATAACTAAGAAGATTGACATTGTGCAATTAAGGATTAGAAATGTAGAAATAAACAAAAATAGACAGGATGTTTGGATAAAAAACGAATGTGATGAATAATTGTTTATGCAATCAGGGGTTATATATGTAGAAATAGTAAAATGGCAAAATAAATAGGAAGTTCGTATATGAACATATGGTAGTGTAAACAGGGATTAAGAAAAACTTTAAAAAATAACATAAATAAACAGGAAGTTTAGGTAAGAAAGGCGATGGGATGGTCATTACTAAAAGAATTACCTGTTTATGATGACCATGGCAGGGAAAGGGGTTGAACTTATTTCTTTGGATACAAAGCATGGCTTTGAGCTTTTGGATAACTAGTGCCTCAGCTATGCCCAGATGTCTTGATTTCACTTCCTTTGGATAGGTTTGATTGAATCTTGTATATTATTTTGAAGGATTTTTCGAATGGCGCTGAACGTCCTGAATTGACCAGATGTTTTGTCACTGAACTGTATACACGTTTTCGGTCTCCTTTTACTAGCCAGGATGGATAGTGTTCACGAGTGCGTTTTCTAAGTCGGCACATGGTACGGCCGATGTACTCAGCTCCACAAGAGCAAGTAAACTAGCATATGCACATTGAGGTGGCCCAATGCGATAGCTTGTCTTTCGCGTTCTGGATGAACATTTTCTTCTAGGAAAACTTCCGTCGCAGGCTCACGGCGAAGTATGTTTTCCTCAGCGATTTGAAGAGACTTTAACGAAGGATTTCTGCTTCAAAATCACCTTTAAATTCTAGATTAAGCAGAGGTATTTTCTTTGAAACGGATTGGAATTGTTTGGAAGTCTTCTTAGATTTGAGATTCTTGTCTATGGACCTGGGTGTGAAACGATTTTCCATCAGGATTTTTCGGAGATTACGCAGTCCTTCTTAAATCACTTCCTCACTGCATATCTTCCGAATCCTCGAGGAAAGAGCGTATATCAGGTTCCTCTTTCTGCTTCCTGTTTATTCATGTTATTTTTAAAGTTTTTCTTAATCCCTGTTTACACTACCATATGTTCATATACGAACTTCCTATTTATTTTGCCATTTTACTATTTCTACATATATAACCCTTGATTGCATAAACAATTATTCATCACATTCGTTTTTTATCTAAACATCCTGTCTATTTTTGTTTATTTCTACATTTCTAATCCTTAATTGCACAATGTCAATCTTCTTAGTTATTATGATGCTACTTTGTTGGAGTTTTATCCGTCTCGCCCCCTGTTTATTATGGCATTCTAATTCCTAATTGTAATTTTATTAATTCGACCGTTGACCGGGAATTATTCTGGAACTTTCCCATCCATTTGATATAAATACACGAATGTACAGCCTAATTGATGCTGACTTCGCCGGAAAGAAAGTTTTCTTCGCTGCAACTGTCTTCTTAGTAAGTTTTGATTAGGATGTACATAGAAGCAAAGGAGAATGTGGAATCATGTAGGAGTTGTAGAGAAGTACAAGAGTAATAAGGAGTTAGAAAAACAAACAAACAGACAAAAATCACGTGAGTAGAAATCAACAAGGTTATTACTGCGATAGTAGGAGTAGTTGAATAATAATTCCCTCCGATTTCTCTAATTGAATGATTAAAGTTTCAATAGTGCAAAGAAGACGAAGACTTATTGTCCTAGGCAGGTTATTCTTCACTCAGTAGATTACTATGAAGAATTTTTTATATGAAATGACCAATGTTGACAAGGTGTTCGGTTATCGCACTCCGTATAAGGACACTACTAACTATCCTCAACAATTCACTCTCGCGGGTGAGCCGCTTGAAACTGTTGATGAGTTTGTGTATCCGGTAGTTGTGTGAGTGCTGGCGAAGGGGTGACGGATGAGATTTCCAATCGTCTGTTCGCTAGCCAGCCCTGGGACGGGATGGAAAAGGCAGAGAGATTGGTAGGTGGTCAGTCCATGACGTGGCGTCGTGGAATGAAGGATTTCTGGGTTAGATCAGCATCGGTCGGTGCGTCACAACCCCCTGGTTGGAGTCTGAGAGATGGCTCAAATCGATGGCTCGGAACGTTATTGGATATGGCCATGAATCGTAATCAATGGCGAACGTGTTGCAGTTTCCTTCTTTCTTCCCTTCCTGATGATAGTTAACGAATACTGTTTGAACTTGTTAAGCATGACTGTTTTCCTTCCAGATGAAGTTCTTTATCCGTTTTCTACTTATATGTTTATTTTTAATCTATGTTGTTTTATTATTATTGTGTGGTGCATGTTTCTTGGTTCCATACTGTACCAAGTTTTTTCTGCGCTTAAATAAATAAATAAACGCGGAATAGTGTTCTTAAACTCATTTCAGACAAAATAGGCATTGATTGATCAATACACCTTGCTTCCAACGAAGAGAAGAACTTATATATGTGCAGAAAGGTGGTCGGATACAAGGTTTTTTGTGCTTAAGGCTTCTTCAGACCAATGGATGACTGAAGAACACTACTCTTAGCGTTGCTGAGAAGAGTGTTTTTTTCTCAAAGATGATAAAATTCTTCTTTTAAGAAGATGGCAACTTGAGTGTTTCTTGAAATCCAAGTTCATATAAAGTTTCCTTCTTTTGAAACAAGTAATGTTTCAATTCCTCTGAATCTTTCGGTTTGATATTCTTGTCAATGAGTCTTGGTGAGTATCCATTTTGGATGATGGTGTCTTTCAGAAGATCTAGTTCTGTAAATATGCTTCGGACCCGATTGGCAAAGAATTTAAACAGTCACTTAACCATAAAAGTTCGTTGGTTGATCGTTCCAGATGGTTTTTACTATGGACTGACGTTTTTCGGTTTTACAATTTACTATTATTGACTACACTTTACAAAAAAACATCAACTGACACGCGTAGAATAGTACAAGCACTGACAATAATATTTATTTGATAGTTTCATAATAAGGTCAAATCAGGGTTTTAAAGACAACAGTAATCAAACGTAGAAAGTTAATGCTTTCCTTCATTTGTCGAAGACATTCTCAGAGTGTTCGGACATACATTTGACTTACAACCAATAAGTACAAGATTCAAGCCTACTTTGGTCTGGTCAACCGAGGAGTCTTATAGGTCTACAGGTGTCAAATATGCATCGTAGCTTGGTGAATAAAGAAAGACATTTGTGTCATATAAATACGTTGAATTACTCACTATCAATGCACTACTATGATTTAATGTGTGTTTATTTATTTATTTTTTTTTGAATTTATGAATCAGTTGTTTATTATAAAACTTAAGCATTCATAACGGCGGAATGCTCACATCCTGATCACCCTCCATAAAAGGTGGTAATGGTTTGATGTATACGCATCGAATAGCAGAAACTTCAAAATACCATCATTGAAGTGAGCCGCTTAATTAGGACAATGCAATGCAGATACTTTCAGTATCTGTACCTGTGTGGAGTATAATATACCGACAATTTGACAATTTCTGTTCCAGGGATTTCTGCATTAGTTTGTTCTGATATGGTGACGAACAGATTTTTATTTGATGTTAACCAACGATCTCACTCAAATCATCTCAAAACTAAATCTCTCTATATGTCATTCTGAACAAGACCTGCGTGAACTGATTCAGTCCTATGGTGTTTATAAAGTAAATGGAATTGTGATGATAGGAAATCAATCGAATATCACCTTTATTGGCATCGGTTCCTCTTTAAGTCTTCCTTAATCATCTCATGTCCTATTGATTTCTGTGCAAAAATATTTCAGTTGACTTATTACGTAAAAAAAGATGAGAATTTCAAGCATGACTCAACCTCTTTTGTTACAATTTATCAATTCATGTATCCTGCCAACTGTCCTTTATTCTTCCCCATATTCTTGCCTGGTCTTCTCAAAACGTAGAACGTTGATGAGAGCTGTAAGTACAGTCAGTGGTGGTGTGTGTCTTTGACTCGACTAATTTGACATTGTTGTTGATAGGCACTTTAATTCTCGCTACGTCTGGTAACGGACGTCCTCTTAATTCACAACGTTCTCTTTACACCGCCTCAGCAGTGAATTCAGAAGAAGAAATTCTACAAGAATTCATGCCTTATACAGTACAACATAAGAACTCAACCATACCGTATATATAGCATGGGCTTTGTGTGTGTGTGAAGGAAGAGGCTAATGTCAGCAGAAAAAACTTACGAACTTTTTAAATTAACGAACATAAACAGGAAATTATAACCAGAATTATTATTATTATTACACGTATTACTTTTTAATCATTCATTATATTCCATCAACTTTCAGTTTTTGTGGCTTTTTTATTTTTTACTATTTTATGTATTAATATATATTTATAAATCGAGCTAAATTCTTACAATATGTACAAATGTGGGAAGCTCCATTCTGTTTGGAATAAAGTGACGATGTTGCTCGTTGTATTAGTGGTAGCATTACGTTTGTTTCAATCATCCTTCAAACTTTATCCCCTCCCAATAACCACCCCCACTGTTATCACTTTCACTCTTATTTTCCCGTGTATTAAGACAGCAATGCATCATCCAGTCATAAATGAACCTCAGTCATCATTGGGTCAATCGATATGTTTGTATACAAAGCAAGAAATAAGTAGTATATATAAGTAGCTACTAGTTAGCTCTCTTCCAAAATAAAAAAAAGCGAAAACAAAACAACTCACCGATAAATTGTTTCTAAATTGTTATCAATTTTCTGCAATTCATCAAATAACGATTTCTTTCTCTTCCACACGTAGACTTCATTCGCCAATTCAGGTATAATTAAATACGTCCGCCAACCGACAGTCTTCTTCGACTTCAATATATCACCATAAACATGATCACCAACATATAGGACATCTTTACCACGAGCACCAATTAAACTTGAGAAGACTTCACAAGAACCTAAGAAAATGTTACACACACAGGAAATATAATAAACAGGTGATTAAAAGGGTTACACGTAAACTTTATTCTCACCAGCAAACAAGTATTACTCAAAGCATTAGAAGATGAAATCACACCTATTTATTTAAATTATTTTGTTCAAAAATCTTAAACTGACTTCATTACAACTGGTAAATAGTGCTGTATTCCGTAAGATTTGAAAAACTGCTGAAATTTGCATTGAGGAATGTTGATAAAATTACATAAAACTCATGAGAAGGTCAGCAAAATGTTGAAAAACTCCACTTCGAATGAAGAAACAACAGAGTGTTCCTGATAATTTTCTAGTTTTATATCTTGGAAGATTTCGGTAGATGAAATCTTCCATTGTCTACTACTACCACCAGCTAGATTGTAGTAAGATGGCCAGCTTTCCATCAGGAGTTAACAAATGGTCTTCGTCTAATGGTCCTAAACTAATTCCTTCTAAATGTCAGATTGTTAATTTCAGTTTCCACTATAAAAGAAAGTTAAATGGAGCTGTTAATTCCCATGACCGTTGTTAAATTGATGATAGTGAGGATATAAAAATCAAGTCTGACGCTAAGTATCTTGGATTAATTCTTTCTTCTGACCTATCCTGGTCTTCCCATATCTTAGCTATTTCTAAAAGAATATTTCGTCTGACTTTTTACATAACTCAACCCCTCCTCCTCTTATAGTTTGTCAACTCGTGCATCTTGTCTATTCTTCTTTACTGTTCACGCTTATTCTTTCCTGGATTGCTTAAAAAAGACAGTGACATACTTTGTAGGACTCTGACGACTGTCAGCAGGGCGAGCGGTATCCTATCCCACTGGACCATATCGTTGACATCGTCATTGATAGGCACCTGACTTCATTTAAGCTCTGTAATAACTGTTATTCTTTTTTTGTATTTCCCCTCATCACTCTGTGTCAGGAGACCATTGGATTCATTACTCTATAACATGCTGGAATTTCCATACTGTATCGACGACAATATTAGTGAATCGATAGCACAGAATGCTCACCGACCACGCATATGGTTTTGGGTTCGATCCGTGGCCGACGCACTCCTTCACCTAACTAAGTCAGAAATAAGACTGGTTAAGAAGGAAGGTTAAACGAGAGAGACTAGCACTGCCATCCTGTAAAAACAAACACCAATGCTAGTCAGACTACAAAGCTGCAACTTAAAGCCCAATCATTGTTCCACTTGAAAGGGTTACTGAAACTTTGACATTATTAGTTATGTTTTCTTATAAAATGTTAATAAACATTTGAAAAAGTTAAATTATCATTAACAGTGTGATAGATTCTGCATGAAATCTTATACACGCATATATATATATATATATATATATATATATATATATATTTTGTGTGTGTGTGTGTGTGTGTGTGTGTGGACGAAAGTAGTTGACGAAGACACAAAACAGGCTTTACAACCTTTATTTTTTATAATGAACTTGAAAAGATGATGGGTGAAGATGTAACGGAATAACTGTTTTAAAATCCCGTTTGAACAGTTTAATGAAAGAAAATACTGATAATTATTTCGATATTTGAACTAACTTTGTAATTATTTTCCTCTTTCGGTATAGACTAAGTATCACTGTCCTAACGTTTGCATATCATCCTATTGACCTAATCCTTTATTATTTGTCTTTGTTTTCTTGTCTAATCGCCGAAGTCATGACCAGTAGGGCGCAATAGGTCGGGTGTGAGGACAAATACTCACCAACAACAACATTAGTTAGCGGTCGCGCTATGTCGTGAATTGGCAGAAGTTAGAATTCATCGGCTGGACATTGGGTCGTGTCCAAGTGACTCAATGGTCTACGAGTTAGCTCGCCTTGTGACCAGAAGGCCCTGGGTTCGAACCCTGGCGGTGGGTGCGTAATACTGAAGAGTCTTAAACTAGGACGAAACAGCTGTACAGTACACCCACCTGGTTTTCCAATTGTTCTCTAACTAACATCAGCTTATAATGAAATCCTGTAACCAATCAAACACATACTAACACTTGAACTTTATATCTTTGTGCTTGTGTAATGATGATGATAGTGTACTGTTTTACGATTGTACGATTTGTTTAAATGAAGTTAAGGTTAGTCAGAGGGGGATTTCGACTTTGGATCGTTTGCAGGTACTGTTTGGGGCATGATTA